ACACTGTGACTGCCAGAAAGTCTTTGTGTGCGGAAGGTGAGAGGAAAGTTAATCTGTACTGAAAATCAACTGTGAGAGGGAAAGGGTCCTCTGAGTGCCCAGGGACATTTACAACACTTCACAGAACAGTGCAGGTGGGAGAAAAGATGCCATTCAGATGCACAAAAGCCCCAGCTGCCTGTCACATGACTCCAGCCCTGCAATTCCCAGCCCTTGACAATGATTTACTAAATTGCTGTATATTTCCAAATCCATAAAGGCTTATTTTCTAGTGAAGTGTTTATTAAAGTGCTGGTAGAAGTGCATTACACTGTGAGTCCAGTCCCCCTGCTGAGTTGCCTCTCTGCATTATTCTTCTGAGTGTAGTCATTTTGCTCCTTGAGGACTGTTCTACAAACCCTCTTATTCATTATTTTTGTTTTCTTAGAAATCAGCTTTATCGAAAGTATGGGTATTTTGAGATGTAGTTTAAGAAGCCACCAGCAGTTATCTGCAGCAAGAATAAACATGATTAAAGTACAGATGTTACCTGAGTACATTCACTTACTGAAGGCCAAAGGTACTGAAAGGTGTAAGCAGCAGCAGGGGTGGAGATGGTTAGGCCGGGATTGTTGAAGGGGAGGGTGACTCACCTGGGCAGTGCTAAGGCGGTATCAGCACCCAGGGGCAGTTAGAAACCCCTTTTACTTGGGGCTTAGGGGCTGGGGTGGGGCTTACAAGGTCCTTAGTCTTAGGAGGAGAGGAGGAGTCTGAGGGGGAAGGGTTTGTGTGTGGCTGCCTTAGGCCCCCAGCAGGTACAAAGGAAGAAGACCACAAAGCCCCATCATGCCCTGTGCCTTAGCAGTTAAGCCAAAGCCTGCATTAGAAAATACAAGAATTCAGCAAAATCTAGCTGCAGGGCACTAGGCTCTCAGTAATCCCCAAGCTAAGGAGAAAAGCCAAAATGCAGCGACCCTCTTTGCTTCCCAAATATGTGAATGTGTTAGATATTCACTGGCTAGCACAGTCGTTTCGGTCATTTTTTCAGAACATCCCTGGCCAAACGATGTGATGAAGTGTCTGAGATTGTAGCCTGGTAGTCTCACTTGATTAAAAGTCATGCAAACTGATTCTTTGATACAGTTGGTCTTTAATCATGGGTATTTTCTTGTTTAATACTTAATACCGGTCATGTCCTGCCGTTTCCTTGGAAGAACAAACTGGGGGAACTTATCAATGAGCAAACATTTACTGCATCTCTATGGAGTGTCAGGGAGCTAACACCAATTCTACCACTGATTCCTCTGTGCAACCCAACATGGGCTCCATGAGAATTCTTGGCAAGAGGGGGCAGACTTCTCCCTGACTCTGTTGCCTGCCCCTGTCCCATAGCAGGTCAGAGAGTTGTTCCCTTTCCACATTTTATGCTGCCAGTGTTAACTGTGCTTACACCCAGGTGGCTAGAACTGGGCTGTGGTTTCAGTGCTTAGCTTATGTCCTGGGTTGGCACAGGGCTCCCTCTGTGGAAGGAAAACCTTTAGCACCAAGTTAATGGCTATAGAACCTAGAGCAACAGAGCCCATTCCTGGAAGGACAGGCTGGTCAGCCTGAGTCTCAGGTCAGCACTGGCTGCAGGAGGGGTGAGGGCCAGCCCTGGCTGGGACTTCAGTGGGTCTTTCCTTTTGGATGTAATTGCATTAAATCAGTGTGGCAAATGGCAATGAGGGCAAGTATCTGTGCCTTCATCTAATTTAAAGATGATTAGTCACCATTTGTGAAATAGGGAATCTTTCCCATGGTGCCGGGTGAATTGGCTGATGACTTGTAGAAGACTGAAACTGGACCCACACCTTTCTCCTCTAACAAAAATTGACTCTTACTGGTTAAAGGACTTAAACTTAAGGCATGAAACTATAAAAATTCTTGGAGAGAGTGCAGGGGAAACACTTGAAAAAATTGGCCTAGAAGAAAACTTTATGAGGAGGACCCCCCCACCCCGGGCAATTGAAGCAACATCAAAAATCCACTACTGGGATCTGATCAAACTAAAAAGCTTCTGCACTGCCAAGAACACAGTAAGTAAAGCAAGTAGGCAGCCCTCAGAATGGGAGAAGATTTTTGCAGGTTATATTTCTGACAAAGGTCTAATAACCAGAATTCACAGAGAACTCAAACTTATTAATAAGAAAAGAACAAGTGATTCCATTTCACTGTGGGCAAGAGACATGAACAGAAGCTTCTCTGAAGAAGACAGGCACACAGTCTAAAGACACATGAAAAAATGCTCATCATCTTTAATCAGAGAAATGCAAACCAAAACCACTTTGAGATATCATCTAACTCTAGTAAGAGTAGCCCACATCACAAAATCCCAAAACTACAGATGTTGACATAGATGTGGAAAAAAGGGAGCACTTCTGCACTGCTGGTGGGAATGCAAGCTAGTAGGCTCCTTTTGGAAAGAAGTTTGGAGAACACTCAGGCATCTAAATGTAGACCTGCTGTTTGATCCTGCAATTCCTCTACTAGGCGTATATCCAGAAGACCAAAATCAATTGGCAACAAAGATATATGCACCAGATTGTTCATTGTAGCTCAATTCATAATTGCCAAGTCTTGTAAGAAGCCCAAGTGCCCATTGACCCATGAATGGATCAATAAATTGTGGTATATGTATACCGTGGAATACTATGAAGCATTAAAAAAAGATGGAGACTTTACCTCTTTTATGTTTACATGGATGGAACTGGAAAATATTCTTCTTAGTAAAGTATCTCAGGAATGGAAAAAAAAATCCAATGTACTCAGTACTACAATAAAACCAATTTATAATCACTCACAATTTCATATGAGAGATGAATCACAACTATAGCCCAGGATGAAGGAGGGAAGGGGAAGGGAATGTGATGGGGGGAGGGTTAATGGTGGGATCACACCTATGGAGCATATTGCAAGGGTACAAGTCAAACCTATCATGTATTGAACACAAATATCTTAACACTGTGATTAAGTAAATGAGGTAAAAGCTATGTTAATTAGTAGGATGTAAGCACTCCAATTTATACAAATAATCAACACATTGAATCCTACAAAGGCAAAAATGTTTTCATGATCTATGTATATATGACTTAATGAAAAAACATAAACATTAAAAAAAATAAAGATGATTAGTCACCATTTAATTGTAATTTAAAAAAATTGCCTGCTCCAAAATGTGGAGGCATGAATTTAACTTAGAGTGGTACTTGTTGAAATAGTTGTAATCCACTTGTTAAATATTCCTTAACCTGGGTTTTCTAAAACTGGAGCCTGTGGCAAAAGCTTACATATTAATTCTTTATCTGGGGCTGCAGTCCAGGGAAAGGAGTGTGAGGGAGGAAAGAGGCAGGCAGCACAGCAAATCCTGGGCGAGGAGCCTCAGCCGCCCAAGCTCTGCAGGAAGTGGTAAACCTGCTGACCTCAGTCTTGGGGGAGCCAGGCTGACCTTGTGAAGGTGGGGGAAGATGTGCGCTCTTTCCAGGATACTGCCGCTGGGGCATGGGGCCACCAGGGAGATGCAGCCCTGTGGGCAGGACCCAGCTCATCCCTGGAAGGGCTAAGATGAGGTGAGGACAAGAAAGGGAGTGCTGTCTGTTTAGTTTTAATAATGCTTCATTTTGTACACAAACTCTCAAATATCCCAAATGATTTATATGTTCGTTTCCTAGGGCTGGTATAAGAAATTACCAGAACCTAGGTGGTTTAAAACAACAGAAATTTATTGTCTCCCATTTCTGGAGGCCAGAAGTCCAAAATCAAGGTGTACACAGGGCCGTGCTCACTTTCGGGCTACGGTCAGAGTCTGCTCTGTGTCTCTCCCCAGCTTTGGGTACTGCCAGGTCCTTCGTGCTCTGTGGCTGGGGGACCCGCACATATGACTCTGTTCTCTCATCCTCTGTCCCTGTCATCACAGGGGCTTCTTCTGATTTGTGTCTGTGTCTCTGCTTTCTCTGCTTGCCCTGGCCCAGTATCACCTCATCTTAACTCCTTCCATCTGCAAGCCCCTATTTCCAAAGAAGGTCACGTTCTGAGGTCCCAGGTAGACATACATTTTTTGGGGGGTGGGGCTGCTATCTAATCCAGCAAAATATGCTAACATTAACTGTCCCCTAGCAGGTACTTAAATCCCTGATAACATCTGTATTGGCTGTACATTAATTAGACTAGAGCCTGATTTAATTGATATAGAGTTGAGTTTAGGTATTTTTTCAGTTACTCCAGGTAATTCTAATGACCCCTCCGTATTGGAAACCACTGTTACCCAGGCTGTGGTGACTCACCCCTGTAATCCTAGCATTTTGGAATGCCAAGGTGGGAGAATCGCTGATGACGGGAGTTTGAGACCAGCCTGAGCAACACAGTGAGACCCCACCTGTGCAAAAACATTAGAGCATGGTACACCCATAGTGCCAGCTCCTCAGGAAGCGGAGGCAGGAGGCTTTCTTAAGCCTAGGGGTTTGAGGTTATAGTGTACAGTGAACTGTGATGATGCCACTGCACTGTAGTCTGGGTGACAGAGTCAAAAAAAAAAAAAAAACAAACACTTTCAAAACCATTTATGTCATTTATTATTATATCCACTGACCAGAATGCAATTAGTAACATTTATTGGACACACCATGTCTCAGGCATGGGGCCAAGTGCCTTCCATGCCTTATTGCAATGACGTCATCATCCATGTGTTCCCCTTTGCAGACAGAGACACAAAGGGTCAAGGATGTTAAGAAAATAGCCAAAGGACACAGCTGGAAGTGCCAGAGTCAGGACATCCAGGCTGCCTGGCTCCAGAGCCATAGCTCTTCCCTGCCAAGAGAACCCTGCACAAATTTAGAAACTTTCATCTTCTTCTCATCTTTAGACAGTCTCAGTTATTTAGAGAAATTGTAAACATTTTAAGATGAGCTAACTCCACGTCTTCACTACAAAGAAAGCAAACAGCCTGAGCAGAGAGGGGTGATATGTCCAATAAATCTTGTACAAGGATGAGTCATGAGGACCTAAGGTAACAGATGACAAGGCATTATCATTCAAATACATTTAATATTATTATTTTTCTCAGTTTCACAAGTTCAGACAAAAATCTATACGTTAAAAGGCATTTCTCCATGTTCTGAAGCTTGTTTGTGTATACCTTAAACTTGCAGTGGTCCTCGACCTTCCCAATGCCTCCTAATGCCGCGACCCTTTAATACAGTTCCTCATGTTGTGGTGACCCCCAACCATAAAATTATTTTCGTTGCTACTTCATAACTGTAATTTTGCTACTGTTATGAATCATAATGTAAATATCTGTATGCAGAATATATTTTCATTGTTACAAAGGGGTCGCGACCCACAAGTTGAGAACCGCTGCCTTAAAGCATGGCCATTGCTAGCCATGGGGTAGAGATAAAAAGTTCCTGGGCTTAAAACAAGGAGATCTGCACCCCACATGCTGCAGGCAGAGCCCTGCTGGTATCCCCGTGTCTGCCCCTGAGGCTGGGTCTGCTTCTTTCCTCCCCCATTCCTACCCTCTTTTCCCTTTGATTTTCATCTAAAGGCAGTTCTGCTGAGGTCCCACCTTATCGAGTATCCACTACTCCTGTTCCCTGGGGCCATTTCTTTCTCTGAAGCCATCTGGCTTTCTAATGGCCCTCACTTTTTTTAGATCTCAGTTGCTTTACCTTTGCTTCACATAAATTGGCCTTGGTTCTCCAATATAGATGCGTTCCTCACAGAGGGAGAAGCAAAGTGTGCACCTGCTGGTATTCCTCCCAGCTCATCTGCAGAATGCCAAGTCTGCCGAGTGGGAACCATCTGTAAATACCTCCTGCTGATTAGTTTTTATCCCTGCAGCTCATGGTGATGGTTCACACGTATAAGAAAATGGTTAACAGTGGTTACGGCACCAGGCACATACACTGAGGGTGGTGGGTTTGAACCCGGCCCAGGCCAGTTAAACAACAATGACAATGGCAACAACAACAAAAAATAGCTGGGCATTGTGGTGGATGCCTGTAGTCCCCGCTACTTGGGAGGCTGAGGCAAGAGAATCTCTTAACCTCTAGAGTTGGAGGTTCCTGTGAGCTGTGACATCATGGCACTCTGATGTCAACGCACTCTACCGAGGGCGACATAGTGAGACTCTGTCTCAAAAAAAAAAAAAAAAAGAAAAGTGTTAACAGTTTGGTATTAAATGAAGGTATCCAAATAATACCATCAGATCACGTTAAAACATTTTTTCACAATGGCTAGAGTTAATCATGACATCCTTTCCCCTCATAGAGTCCCAACTCAAATTATTTTTTTACGATTCCTCTAATTTTAAACACGTCATTAGGCTCTGTTATGGTGCTAAGTGCTCTGTTGTTGATTAAAAATGGACCCTGCCCATGGACGTCTACGTGTAATTGTCTGTCAAATGCAAAACTTAGCCAAGGACACACCTGATCATTAAATCAAAGGTGTCACGGATGTTTTTGACATGATGAAGAGTTTAATGGCTTTTGACTTCAAGCTAAGCGCTGATTAGGAAAGGTTCCACTCAAAATTCATCCCTAGAATGTTGAAACAGAGACGCTTAGATATCTCATTTGACTTCAGAGTCTTCTCTTTCTCCTAGAATGACACAAACAATGAATGGCTACTATTTCTCATGGCTCATGATTGGAGTCAAATGTCCTCTGATCCATTTGTTCTGTGAGAGTCTGTTCAAAGGGCTAAGCTACACCTCTGGGAGGCCCCAGCTGATGTGTGTCAGGTTCACGCCAAGGGGCTTGAGAAGCAGATAAGGTCCCCTTCTGAACTTCTAAGCCTTTGCATTCTTGCATGTTTTTTTTTTTTTGAACCTTACTTCTTACATTTAACTTTTGTACAACACTGATGTTTTATCCTAGTTTTAAGGATAATTTAGAATCCAATAATTACTTACAACTCAAATGAACATAATGTCTATTTGGATTTTAACAACTAGAAAAAGCTAAGAAAAGCCCTTACTTGGAAACTCTTCAAAGGCTCGAACTGGGCTACAGTTGTTAGTGCTTTCTGCAAAATGAAGCAATGTAATCCTTACAACATTTTTATAGCAACAGTTGTTTGAGTCTTTTATCAGATTGACTTTCTGCTCATGTCAAGGGAGTAATTCTCTTTGTATAAAAGTGACTTTGAAGATGAATAAGTAACAGAATGGGTACACACAGGTTTATGGACATTTAAAAATCATTTAATGTTTTTGTGTGTGTCCACTCTGAAAAAAAAATAGGAGGTGCCTCATTTATTCTACATAAATGACCTTAGGAGAAAGAACGTGTAAACTCTTGTGTCTTTGATTCAGACATAAGTGAATTTTTGGTGATCCACAATGACCTCCTATTAACATGAGGTAGATTTTAGATCTTCTAGGAACTACAAGCTTCTAGTACTTTATTTCAGGAAATCAGGGCCAGATCTGTTGCTGCAGCAGGCAGTGAACTCAGAGCTGATTAGGAAATGCTGGCCCCAGAAGGCTGGGGTCTGCCTCCTGACTGTATGAACAAGAGTCAACACCAAGCTCTTGACTCCTTGAGTCCTCAGTGTTCCGTGTACTGGAAACACAAGCCTGTGTGGGTGGGTGCAAGTTTCTTTAAAGTTACATGATCTGTTTAAGTTATTTTATTTTGTACTTTTGAAAGATGGGAATATTCCAGTAGTAAAAACAGAAACAAGCGTAGGTATTTTAAGCAGAGAGGGATTTAATAAAAGGGATAGGATTGGAGCTGTTTGGAATGACTAGGAAAGAAGGAGAGGACAGGGACCTTGGAGGTCAGTCCCTGCCCTGCTGGACACCCATCACAAAGTTGGTACCTGCTGGGCAGTAACCTTTTGCCCTCCTGTGGCCAGGCTGACTCCCACAGCCACCAACCAGTGTTGTCATTGTAGGACTGGAATAGGAGCTGTGGCTACAACCAGAAGTGGAACACAGGTGACCTCCCTCCTGCCTTCTGATCCTGCAGTAGCTCCCTACTGGAGGAACCTAAACAGAGCCTACTGGCAAAGGACTCTGGGAAATGTAGTTTCCATACCTCCGGCCCTTGGGGATGGAGAAGTCAAAGAAAGGCAGACAGTATCTGACCCAGATAACTATCATGACACTTTAGAAAATGTTTAGTTATCACAGCACTTTCACTGATTAGATATTTATTTATTTTAGAGACAAGAGTCTCATTTTGTCACCCTTGGTAGAGTGCCGTGGGGTCATAGCTCCCAGAAAACTCCAGCTCTTAGGCTTAGGTGATTCTCTTGTCTCACCCTTCTGAGTAGCTGGGACTACAGGTGCCCACCACAATGCCCGTCTATTTTTTGTTGCAGTTTGGCCAGGATTGGGTTTGAACCCGCCACCCTTGGTATATGGGGCTGGCACCCTACTCACTGAGCCATAAGTGCCACCCTAGACATTTATTATAAATTGATTTTGTTTTAATATGAAATAGAAAAGATCCTTTTGACAACTCCTTTCATGAGTCAGGAAGACAATCAATTTTATGTAAAAATATTTTACGAGTTTAAAGAATATTTGGGGCCATTTTGATTCACACAATTCAACATGAGCTGAACAAATTGATTAAATGTCTAGCTCATGATAGGCCTTACTGTACCGTCTCTGAACAGCATGCCTTGTGTCCCTCTGCATGCTGGCCACACTGTTTGAGATACAGCTGGAGGAAGCAAATTCTACCATCTGGATTTTTATATTTGACACTATTTGATACTTTGCTAAAGCAGAATATTGCATTTTCTCTGGTAGTTGATCAGTCTGTGTACTTTCTGAGGTTTTATGTACTTTTAGTCTGGTTACATTCTTTACATCTTGAATTCCAACAGGAAATTATTCGAGACAAGCAATTACTCACTTTTTAATTAATATAAAATTTTTGTACCTTGGTAATCCAAAATTGATGATAAAAATCCTTTTAAATTACCGTGATCGTGACTTTATGTATATATGTAAATCTCTTTTTTTTTTCTTTTTTGAGACAGTCTCACTATGTCGCCCTGGGTAGAGTGCTATGGTGTCACAGCTCACAGCAACCTCAAACTCTTAGGCATAAGTGATTCTCTGGCCTCAGCCACCCAAGTAGTTGGGACTAGGGAGCCGCCACAGTGCCCGGCTATTTTTTGTTGTAGTTGTCATTGTTGTTTAGCTGGCCTGGGCCAGGTTTGAACCCACCAACCTTGGTGTACGTGGCTGGTACCATAACCACTATGCTGTGGGCACTGAGCCAAATGTCTTTACTTTTATATCATTTAATATTCTTAGCTACAACTGCCTCCAATTTTATTCCTACTATATTAGATAACAAGTCATTAGCTATAGAACCTAGATAAGAAGTTGGGTTTTATCAATTGTAGACTGTTAAAGAACTCCTTTTTGTTGGATGATAGTAAGTGTCCAAAAGTTAGTTGATAGTCTATTAGATACACTTAAAAGAATGATATAATAATAACAACATTATTTTAAAATGTCAGTGTTTACAAAATACTGTAACTCATTCCTTTGAGTTAATTTAAACTGACAACAAAAATATTTTTGTATCCTTGTTAAAGTATGCATGTGATACATTTTCATAATTTATTTTAGGAATATATGAACAAAAATATTTAAAGATCAGAGGGTGGGAGGACAATTGGCCAGAGGAGGGAGGCTGATGGGCGGGATCTCACTTAATGTACACAAGGTGAGGGTGTTCAGCATACCCCCTGTGTGAAGAGCTCAACTACAACTTGGACTTTACCTTAGAAGTGAAAACAATGTAATCTAGAAATTTGTACCCTCATATTAGTTTGAAATTAATAAAAATCTTTACTAGTGATTACTTTAAATATAAATGAAATAAATTATTTATTTAAAAGGCAAAACAAAGTTTAAAGACCATTGATCTGTACAAAAGGTAAGTGTTTTGAAGATAAACATTCCCAGGTCTCCACATGTCTTTTCTTTGCTTTCCCAGTTTGACCTCGTCTGTGTCAACGCGTGGCTGCTGGATTTCACCCAAGCCATCCTGAACCTCGGCTTCCTGGCGGGGGCCTTCACCTTAGGCTATGCAGCAGACAGGTAGGTACAATCATGACAACCGTTTTACATCACTGTAACACAACACATTAGTACAGAGAGGAAAACAGTTGATGTTAACTATTAGAAAACTATCTTTGCTAAAGGTAAAGATGGTTTTCTATTCCACCACTCATGACATTCATGCTTGTTTGGTTTGACTAATTCTTTCCTTCTCAAGTATCATCTCCTTACTCCTTGAACTGTACAAAGGTGTGGGGCTGTCCCAGTAGGTATAAAAACACCTGACTGAAAGCACAGACACGCAAGGAAGTGAGAGTGGGCTGACGCGTTGTTGTCCTGCATACTATGGAACTGATTCAATGTGCTTCAGTAAGAGCTCACTGGTTGTGGTTTGATTAATTTAGCCATAAGGTTGGCCTGTTGCAAGTTTGTTTTATTTAACATTTTTAAAAAAGAAACCCTTATATTTTATTTAAAATTCTTTGAAACGATATTTTCCTGAAACCATTAAGGGAATGATATCTCTTATTGTGTTTTATATTCATCAATGTGACCGGCTAATGGGAAAACATGGTGGGTGTGTACATGCAAGACAGTCATGCTATTCAGATTGATATTACTGATGTTATTGTATTCATGTTTAACTCTATTCCTTTATCCCAATTCTAGCTGGGAAAATATTTGCAATAATCTAGTAATCCTCTCTATATCCCTCAAAAGAGGTACAGATTGGGAATCTTTGGCCCATGGCCATATCGGGTCTAATTTTGTTCTGGTTACTCCAGTCCAGCCTTGTGGGTTCTTGTGATTGTGCCATTCAGTGGAGAATGCTAAGGATACCTTTTAGAGAGTTTCAAATGGCAATTGTTAAATAATTAGTTAATTTAACTATAAAGGGCCCCAAATCCTGTAGCCAATTAAAGATGTGAGTTTGATTAGATCAGTGCTTTGAAATGGGTAGAACATCAGGCTTCTTTGTCTGTCTCTTTCCCTCTCACGTTTTCTCTAGCCCTCCCTTTCCCCCACACTCCTCTGCACGTGAGATTCTCCCTTAGGCTTTTGCGTCAGATGCTCTTTCCCCTTTTCTTCCCCTTTACCAATGTCCTTTCTCCCATTTCTACTTCTAGCCCTTGTGAACTTCACCTTACTTTCTTAATCACTTTCTCTCCTTGCTGGCTGCCCTTTGGAACTGAGTTATATATTTTACGTATTTACTTGTTTTGTTTTTACTCTTCCTAATTTAAAAGTTAGGTTTTGCTTCTTTTGTATTCTTTTGTTTTTCATAATCAATAAACATACTCCAAACTTTCTTAAAGGAGGGGGATTTTCCCTGCCTGTGTTCTGGTGGGGGATTGAGCATCTGTCCTCAGAGAGTACTTGCTGTTTGGAAAGCATGAGCCACGCCTGGAAGAAAGATGAGTCGAGAATAATTCTGCCTCCTGGCAGGACTGCCCCGCCTGCAGCTCCTTCTCTTCCTGTACATCTATGATTTGTGTCCTTGAAGGAAAGAACAATAAGGAATTTAGTGGGCCACATGTCTATGAGAGGACAGTGTAGGAAGGAGAGAGTTAATTTTAAGGTCTAGGTAGGAATTTTTGTTTTCAACCTGCATATTAGGAGTTTAGCAGTTGTTAGTCCTAGCAAGTAAAAAGCTGAGCAAACTGAAATGCCAACCACTCTTCTTAGCTCCATAAGACAAATGAGATCATAGGTCAAACTGTTATCACCCTCCTCCTGACTGCCCTCCTAATTAGAGAGACATGCGGGTGAATACAAAGAATAACAACACTTGCCCTGAAACCTCCTGGGGGGAGCCTGGGTGGATAAGTTGCTGGAGGCTCAGTGTGGATGAGCTTGAGAATTAAAAACTCATGAGAGTCCCTGTCAGAGGGGCCTCGCGCTTTTGCCATTCTTACATCCTGGAGTTCCAGTAGGATCTCAAAATGAATATCAAGAAAAATTCCTCATGCTTAGCACAGGAGGGGAAGGGGAATCATTTTGAAACATGCCAGAAAGCTCTGTTCTTCTTAACCCTATTCACCGTCTGAAGAAACTATTTAATTGGAGCCTAACCTTCTGGGGTTTTCTCAGAGCTTCCAGAGACCAGGGGATGCTAACTCCAGCTCCTTCTAGCATTCCAAGTAGAGCAAGAGAAATATTCCAGATGCTGCTAGCCTTCCACAGGGGAGAACAGAAATAACCCCCTCTAGTCCCCTCCAACCATCCTCTCCCAGCTGGGGTGGGAGGGAGTCTGGAAAACACTTGTGAAGTTCCCAGTTCAGAGGTACAAGTTCACTGAGACCTGCTCACAGGGGTGCAGAATGATTTCCCTACCCCAACACCTCCCAACCCCACTCCTAAAGGCCTGTTAGCAGCATTTCCTTCCTTTTACCAGTTCATCATGTCAAGCTATCAAAAAATTTCAAGGCTCTGAAGAGACAGAGCAAACATCAGAACCAGATTCAGATATGACAAACAAGTTATATTATCAGACCAGGAATTTAAAACTACTATGGTTAATATGTCAAGGAGTCTAATGGATAAGGTGGACAGCTTGCAAAATTGAAACCACACTGAGATATCACCTCATATCTATTAGAAGGGCTATTGTCCAAAAGGCAGAAGATAGTAAGTGTTGGCCAGGGTGTGGACAAAGGGAGCATTGTCAACTTCTGGTGGGCATGTAATTTGGCACAGCCATTGTGTAAAACAGCATGAAAGTTTCAGAAAAAGTAAAAAGGTGAGAGAACTACCAGCAAGCCCACATCTGGGCTCAGACATCCAAAGGAAATGAAAAAAAAAGAAAAAAGAAAATCGTATCATTTGTGACAAAATGTATGAACTAGAGGACATTATGCTAAGTGAAATAAGCATGACATAGAAAGACAGATATTACATAACCCTGCTTATATGTGGAATCTGACTGATGAAAACATTGCAAAAATTCATGGAATTGTGCGTCAAAATCATCGGCCAATATGAGAAGCACAGCAGATGGAGTAAACATCAATAGAGAAACAGTAAGGAAAATTTTAACTGAAAATCTTGACATGAGAAAGGTGTGGCTCTCACATCACAACAATGCACCAGCTCACACAGCACTGTCTATGAGGGAGATTTTAGCCAGTAAACAAATAACTGTGTTGGAAAACCCTCTCCAATCACCTGACCTGCCCCCCAGTGACTTTTTTCTTTACCCAAAGATAAAGGAAATATTGAAAGGAAGACATTTTGCTGACATTTAGGACCTCAAGGGTAATGTGATAGGGCTCAGATGGCCATTCCAGAAAAAGAGTTCCAAAATTGCTTTTAAGGTGACTAGGCACTGACACTGGTGCATAGCTTCCCATGAGGAGTACCCCAAAGGTGAGTATACAGATAGTGGTATTCAGCAGAGGAATGTAGCACCTTTTCTAGGATGAGCTCCTGAACTTGATTGTCAGACCTTGTATGTGCCTAACAGCAGAGCATCAAGGTACATGAAGCAAAAACTGATAAAACTGCAAGGAGAAGTAGATGAATCCACTATTATAGTTGAAGATTTTAACATCTGTCTGTCAGAAATGGACATATCTGGCAAACAGAAAATCAGTAAAGACATAGTTGAACTTAGTGATACTATCAATCAGCTGGCTAAAATGCCGTTTATAGGCACGCCATCTAGCAACAGTAGGGTACACATTTTTCTCAAGTTCATATGTACCATTCACCAGGTTAAATCATATTCTGGCCCATAAAACACACCTTAATGAATTTAAAGAAATAGAAATCATACAATGTCTTTGTTCAGACCACAGTGGAATTAAACTAGAAATCAATAAAAGAAGGCTAGCTGGAAAATTAGAGGTGTGATTAAACACTCCACCTCTAATAACATGGATCAAAGAATAAATCTCAAGAGAAATCTTAAAATATTTTCAAAAAAATATTTTGTACTGAATTAAAATGAAAACACAACTTACCAAAATTTTTGGAATGCAAAGAAAGCTATGCTTAAAGGGAAACTTACAGCATTGAATGCACATATTGGAAAAGAAAAAAATATGTGAAATCAGTAATCTAGACTTTCACATTAGGAAACTGGAACAGAATAGCAAACTAAATCCACAGTTATCAGAAGAAAATAAATAAATAAAAATTAGAGCAGAAATCAATGCAATTAAAAATAAGAAATCAATATAGAAAATCAATAAAACCAGAAGCTGAGTCCTTGAAAAGATAAATAAAATCAATAAGCCTCTATCCAGGCTAACTATGAGAAAAAAGAGAAAGCAATGGCACAAATTATTGATATTAGAAATAAAAAAGGTGACATCACTTCAGATGCTATGAACAGTAAAAGGGTAATAAAGGAATATTACAAATAAATCTATGCTCTTAAATTTGATAACCTAGATGAAATGGAATGATTCCTTGAAAGACACAATTTATTAAAACTCACACAAGAAGAAATAAACAATCTAAATAGGACTGTATTTATTAAATAAATTGAATTAGTAATTAACCTTCCAAAATAGAAAGCACTCTTCCCAGATGGTTTTACTGGTGAATTCTACTGATGATTTAAGGAAAAAAATTATACTAATTCTCCATAATCTCTTTCAGAATATACAAGCAGAAGGAATACACCTTAACTTGTTTTATGAAGCTACTGTTATGTTAATACCAAAATCAGACAAAAATATCCCAAGGAAAGAAAACTACAAACTACTATCTCCCATGAACATAGACACAAAAATTCTTAACAAAATGTCAGCAAATAGAATACAACAATATAGGAAAAGAATTATACTCCATAACAAGTAGGAATTATCACACATATGGTAGTTTGGTTCAACATTCAGAAATCAATTAACATACTTGATAATGTCAATAGATTAAAAAATAAAAAGGACATAATCATATCAATAGATACAGAAAAAGCACTTGACAAAATCCAACATGTATACATGGTCAAAACTCTCAGTAAACTAGAAATACAGGGAAACTTCCTCAACTTGATAAGGGATATATACAAAAAACCTACAGCTAACATAATACTCAAAGGTGAGAAACTAGAAGCTTCCCACTAAGATCAGGAGCAAGGCAAAGACTTCCCCCTTCCCGTTTCTTTTCAGCGTGTACTAGAAGCCCTAGCTAATACAATGAGGCAAGAAAAGGAAAAAGAAAATATGCTGATTAGGAAGGGAGAAATAAAACTGTTTTGATCACAGATGATATGATTGCTTATTTTAAAAATATAAACCAGAAGACTTGACCAACAAAGCTCTTGAATCTATTAAGTGATTATAGTAAGGTTGCAGGATACAAAGTTAACATATAACAATTGCTTTTCTTTATACCAGCAGTGAGTGACTAGAATTTAAATTTAAACACACAATGCTGTTTACATTAGCACCCCTTAAAACGAAATACTAAGGTATAATTCTAACTAAATATGCCTAACATCTGTATGAGCAAAATTCTGATGAAAAAAATCAAAGAATTAAATAAATGGAGAGCTGTGGATAAGAAGACTCAATATTTTCAAGATGTTAGTTCCTTCCAATTTGATATATATATTGAGTGTATCCCAATCAAGATTCCAGCAAGTTATTTTGTGGATATTGACAAACCAATTCTAAAGTTTATACGGGAAGGCAAAACATGCGGATTAGGCAACACGATATTGAAGGAGGAAATGATGTCAGAGGAGTACCTGACTTCAGGACTCACTATGGAGCTACCATAACCAAGGCAGCATGGTGTGAGTCAAGGAACAGACACATGCAGTAGATGAACGGAACGGAATAGAGAGCCCAGAAAGAGGTACACTCAAATAGAGTCAGCTGATCTTTGATAAAGCAGCAAAGGTAATTCAACGCAGACAAGGTGGTACTCTTGGTAACAAAATGGTACTGGAACAACCGGATATCCACATGCAAAAAAATGAATCTAAATACACCCTTGAAAAAATTTAACTCAAAGTGGATAACAGAGCTAAATGTAAAACTAAAACTATAAATTCCTAGAAGATAGGATAGGAGAAGATCTAGATGACCTTGGATTTGGTGATGACTCTTTAGATACAATACCAGAAGCATGATCCATAAAAGAAAGAATGGATAAGCTGGACTTCATTAACTTTTAAATTTCGTGCTCTGCAAGAGACATCGTCAAGAAAATGAAAAGACAAGTCACAGACTGGGAGAAAGTATTTGTAAAGGCCATGTGTGATACTCAAGGACTATTCTTCAAAGTATACAAAGAACTTTTAAAAGTCAGCAATAAGAAAGTAAATAACCCAACTAAAAATTGGGACAAAGATCTTAACAGACACTTCTTCAAAGAAAATATGCAGATGATAAATAAGCATATGAAAAGATGCTCCATGTTGTATGTTATCAGAGAAATGCCAATTAAAACAATAATGAAATACCACTATGTAGTTATTAGAATGGCCAAAACCTAGAACACTGCCAAGACCAAATGCTGACCATGATGTAGACCCCTAGATACGCTCCTTCCTTGCTGGTGGGAATGCAGAATGGTACAGTGACTGTGGAAGGTAGTTTGGCAGTCTCCTGCAAAACTAAACATACTCTTCCCATATGATCCAGAAATTATACTCTTTGTTATAGCGTTGAAAACTTATGTTCACACAAAGCCCTGTATGTATGCAGAGGGTGCCAAAAAATCTATATACATTCTAAGAAAGGAAAGAAAACTGTATTAATAAATTTGTAATGCTCAAGTCACGTTTGATTTCTGCAATTACAAGAGGTGCTCAACATGACTTGTGTACATCTTTTGTTATTGGTATATACTGAATATTACAATTTTGATATAGGTTTTTCCTTTCTTAAAATGTGTATACATTTTTTTGCATCCTCTGTATATAGCAATATTTTTCATAATTGCCGAAACCTCGAAACAACCAAGATATGCTTCAGTAGGTGAGTGGATAAACAAACTGTGATATATTCAGACGATTATTTCACACTAAAAAGAAAGGAGCTGTCAGGTCATGAGAAGACACGGAGGAAACTTAAAATACATACTACTAAATGAAAGAAACCAATCTGAAAAGACTACATATGATGTGATTCCCACTACGTAAATCTGGGAGAAAACACAAAGATAGTTAAAGGTCAGTGGTTACCAGGGGTTGGGCGGGGAGGGAGGAATGAACAGGTGGAGCAGAGAGGATTTGGGGGCAGTGCAGCCCTTCTGTGTGATACTTCAGTAGTGGACACCTGTCATCATACATGAGTCCAAACTCATAGAAAGCACATCATCAAGAGTGACCCTCACGTACACTATGGACTTTGGGTGATTATGAAGTGTCAGTGTGGGCCCATGTGCTGTACCACTTTAGGGGAGTATGCTGATAGTGGCCGGGGGCTGTGCATGTGTGGGGCAGGGTCATATGGGAACTCTTTGGCCTTTCTGCTCAGTTTTGCTGAGCACCTAAACTGCTCTATAAAATAGAGTCACTTTAGAAAAAAAAATCTCACTAAACCAAGCTGTTGCTTCCTCTACTTTGCTGACTCAAGCAAAATGCTATATGTGTAAATATTGTGGACACTTTTCAGGAAAAATCTCAGAGGATCAAATCTCTTTATGGTCATTGACATTGAAATTTCACCAGATGGTATTTCAACACAACTATACTGAAGCAATTAACACCAGACTCTTAGAATTTATGCACAATACTCCGTTCCTTTTTTCTTAGCTATTTAATAATTATTATGTTAACGATGAAAACAAAATACAAAAATTAAAAGCAGTTCACACTGACTGTGAACTTTGTAGTCCACAAAGAGCTTTCACACTGACATCTTATTTGATCCTTTCTACATGAAAAAATGCTGCACCTCATATGTCATCAGAGAAATGCCAATTCAGACAATAATGGGATACCACTGTGTAGTTATTAGGATGTCCAAAACCTAGAACAGGTGAGTAAAAAAGTCTAGAAAAGGTGAGAAAAAAACAAAAACCTAAAACAAGTGAACAAAATCTGAGTTTTGGAGAGCTTGGAGATTGGGCCATCATGACTGGAAGATGGCTGAGCAGAGAGATCCAAGGCCAGGCCTTCTGGCTGTCACACACCGTTGCTACTTTCTATCCCTCCTCCTTGTGACTCAGCCCACAAAATGCTAGCAAGTCTCATGCCTGGGCCACCAGAGAGGATATGTGAAACAACAACCAGAGAGAATATGTGAGTAATTTACAATATGTTGTTGTAAAGAGGGTCATCCTTTGGGAAACTGCAACCACGAGAAACACGTCCCACGCTTTAAATTTTGTAATGTCACTTTAGAGGTACATGTTTTATTTGCCTTGTTTTTGGCCTAAAACAAGACATACAGTTTTTCAACTATCTTTTGGTTGTAATAATGAAGATATGGAGAACACATTTACTGTACTTAAAGCTTTTTTAGCAACCCTTAAAGTCAAAGTTGCTTTTTTCCCATTGTGTTGAAGAAAATGTTTAAAGTGAGCTCATTTCCTCTCTCTTTCCCCAAAAGGTATGGCAGGATCATCGTTTACTTAATATCCTGTCTTGGCGTTGGCATCACGGGCATTGTGGTGGCCTTTGCACCAAATTTCCCTGTGTTTGTGATCTTCCGCTTCCTGCAAGGTGTGTTTGGAAAGGGGACATGGATGACTTGCTACGTGATTGGTAAGATGTTGTTGTACCTTCTCCTCTATTTGGAAAGCAGGGCTGGATGGCTGGAAAGTGCTGACCAGCAGCCTTCCAGCGTTCCTTTAACAAAGGAGGTCTCAGTGCAGGGCAGCAATGACTCCTGCAGGTGGCAGGGCCGACAGCCAGGATTCTGACTGCTTTAGAAACTAAAATGCTCCCTTACTTTGGGAAACAAATATGGAACATCATATGGCTTCCAACTTTGCCTTATGAGAAATTAATTTTTATAAAATTTGAACAGCTCCTTGAAACAACATTTTAAAAGCATTTTCTGTAGATTATGCCCTGTGACACAGTTTCCTGTGTTTTCAAATACTATCTAATTCTCTTTCTGCACAAGTGGAGAAATTTTTACTATATGAGTTCATTTTTGACCTTTTGCTGTAACTACAAAGTTTGACCTTTTAGGTAGGAGAGAAAGAAAAACTTCCCTTTACCTTTCTCTCCCATTGCTTGAGAAGGTCCTGGCTGCTCCCTTCAGCTCTGTCTCTAGTCTAGGACCAGCCACCTTCTTTAAGAGTCAAGGGAGATTCGTGACCAGGGAAATGCAAATTCTCACCTTAGGTTATTGCCCCAGATCTTTGTTCCACTCCCTTCTATTATTACTATGCACTGCCCTTTGCAGAGCTTCTGAAGATCTTCCTGTGGGTTGGGAAGTATAGAAGAGTGTTAGGAGTGGCTGGCTGTCACTGGTGGCAGCAGAAGGGGTAACTTTGGAATGTGAAGCATTTTAAAGAGGACCCAAGTCCAGGTGAATTCTCAAAGTTCTAATCTTAGGACAGCAATCCCAGGATGATCAGAAAAGAGCAAAGCAGTTAGGGGAAGGGGCAAGTGAAGAAAGGGTCCCAGCAATAATTTTTTAAAGAACTGTAACACAAACAAAACATCTCATACTATGGAGAGAATTACCATTTAATAGAAGCTGTTTTGTGATAATGAAAAGTGTTTGTAGAGTCTGATGTTCATAATGAATCTCCTACAGAGACTGAAATGTACAGATCTTTAGAGATACAATGAAAAAATGTAAGCAGCTTACTGTACCTACAATTTGATAATTACAAGTACCCTTCAAAATAACCATCATTGAATCTGTCCTAAAACCAACACAGACATTGTTCGTGTTCCTCTGGTGAATGCAGAAGAGGGCTGGGTCTGGGTGTGTAGGAGGAAGGTGGGAAATGCTTGTGGTAATTGTCTAAGAAGAGGGTGAGAGCTAAGTGTGAGGCATTAGGAAGACACACCTCCATCATTTCAGCAAGTGCATCTTTGAGTTCCCGTGTTGCAGCAAGGCTGATAGTTATGACAGGTGTAATGTCTCTGTTTTTGTGTGTTTATTTTGGAGCCCATCTTGAGCTTCCCTAACCTCTTGTGTTTGTTTTCCCTTCAGTGACAGAAATAGTAGGTTCAAAACAAAGGAGGATTGTGGGAATAGTGATTCAAATGTTCTTCACCCTTGGAATCATAATTCTCCCTGGAATTGCCTACTTTATCCCCAATTGGCAAGGGATCCAGCTAGCCATAACGCTGCCCAACTTTCTCTTCCTCCTTTATTACTGGTAATGTGGTTTTGGTTATTATCATATTTATACTTATTCCACAGAAATGTAGACTCCAAGCCAACACAAAAATGAAATCGGTAGAGGAAATCTTCTAACATCTCCGAAATGACTATGTGCTTTGAGAATTTTTAGAGAATTTGAGGACTTAGAAAAATTATTTGTTATTTGATTAAAAGTTATTAAAATGAATTAATAAAATACAAAAATGCGAAATTCTAAGTAGAGTATTAAATTATGTTTTATTATTGTGCAATATTTTCATGAAAGCAATAAGGCAACAAACCATATTTGCCAGTATTATACCATACAAATTAAATGTAATAAAATTAACTAGTTTATATTCTATTAAGCAAATTAATACTACTCAGGAATTCTCTGAGGAATAAGAAAATGTTAAGATCAAAAAACAAAGTTATCAAAAAGCTGTAGGTATATATACACTTGATTTTTTTGAGAATGGACATATCTTAATGATTCTTCTAATTTAATTTTATGAGCAAGTCATTTAACATAAATCAAGTTCTGTCCTAATCTTTTCCTAATACTCACTAAATCCCAGTTCTTTTCTCATGTATAAACAAAGATATCATATTGTAGGATATCCTGGTTTTGCAAGAACAATATCATATTGATTATTTTGATGAGCAACAATCCAGGTGTCAGGTAGCATTTTTCCTGTCTGTTATGACCTTGCAAGGAAAATCTTCATTTCATGGGGCCTGTTATCAACCCTGATAGTCTCCCAAACTTATATCTAATTGCAAGATCCATTTTGATAGAAAAACTCAAATCACAAACCTTTAGATTTTGAAATTCCTAGGCATAACTCAAACACTCCTTCTTTGCCAGGGTGGTTCCTGAATCTCCCCGTTGGCTGATTACGCGGAAGAAAGGAGATAAAGCGTTAAAAATTCTGAGAAGCATTGCTAAGTGCAATGGGAAATACCTCTCACCAAATTACTCAGAGGTAATTTTATTTATTACTAGTACCAGAGATTGTTAAAGTTGGTGAATTAATTTCTTGGTCACTTGTAGACTTAATTTTGCTTCTTAAAATTATGTGCATATTACCAAATGTTGACTAAATAATTTGCAGTTTGACTTAACTAAAAACATCTTGAAAAACGGGTCATAAGGTATATTCAAGAAGAAATCATTATGACGTTGTAATAAGATCATAGGATTAATTGATTATTTCAGTTCATAGTATAGTAGTTGCACCAAGTTACCTAAATCATTATATTTACTTATAGTGGGTCCCATATTTAATGATTCATCTTGATTGTAAAAACTATAAATTTTTTCTTGACATTGAATTTAGTCTAAAGATGTATTTCTATAGATGGTCTTGGAGATACTATTTACGCAAACTAGAGCTTCAGAGTAATGCAGTGTGTCGTCCTGTACACTGACATGCGGGTGTGCCTGCCCTCTTTTCTTCTTCCCTTCTTCCTTCTCCCAACAAAGGCTTTGTGCGTGTGCCTCCGTATCACTGCACTGAGAAATGGGGGATTAGAAGCTTATTCTCTGGCCTCTAGAAGTTTGACGTGCAGTTGAGTATATAGCACGTGCATCAGAAGCAACCCCCAAATAATTAGAGAATAGCATCAGAAGAAAAATATGACAACGCGTTAGCTGCAGAGACTGAGTCAACGCACAGGGACAGAAGGATGAGCATACAAGAAGTCTTAGAGAAGAATTTTTGGAAGATCGAGTCTTGATTTAAATCTTGAAGAATATTTAGCTGCTAACGTTGTTTTCTTTGTAGCATTCAGTTGGTTTCCATAGAAATTTTCTTATAAGAACATTCTGATAGGAATTGGGTATTGTTGGTTGCAGTGGCCCCTCCCCAGCCCCCAGAACTGGGTCACAAATAGTTAGATTTCTGCCTTTTCCCTTTCTCCTGTTAAGTGGCACCCAGCAGCATCTGTGTTTTCCGAGGTTTCTGACCAGTTGTCACTAGTACAAATAGGTTAGCGACGTACTTTGAGGCTTGTGGATCATAAAATGTGTGGTGAAGATAAAGTGGGATCTTTTTAAGCACCATGATTAATTGCTCCTCGTCATCCTCCGTGTGGGCACTCTGGAGCTATAGATTCTTTTCAGGGGGAAACATGCCCCTGCTTTCCCTGCTTGTCTCTGCCTTACGGCTGGATCCAGTGTACAATCATTCCTCCTCAATTTTAGTAGTCAAATGTGCACTTTTTGCTAATCACTTAGCAGGATCCTGAAGATACTGCACACGTTGTCCCTGAGGTAAGCATATATGAGATCTAAGTCAAGGTTCCTAAGAATGGAGGAGAAACCAGCTCTGCACTGATGGGTTGTGAAATGGAATGCCGTGTTAACCGGGCAAGTTGTGTTATGGCGAGTGTCGCTGAGAGACGGGTCTGATTTCCAGAAGCAGCTGCAGGTCCACGTCCTGCGAGTGTGCAGCTCAGCACTGCTGCCGTGGACCCCCTGGCCCAGCCTCTAATTCGCAGCACTGGTAGAGATGGTGTCGGCGGCAGGTGGTTCCATGTTCTATGTGGCTGTGCTGGAGAAGACCAGGAACTGTGGGATCTAGCACCTTCTGAGTAATTTGAACTCTAGTTCACAGAGGTCAGACAGGTGTCCAGTGAAGAGCCAGACTTCCATCTCCCTGGGGAACTTACTAGAGCCCCCTTGCTGCCACTGCTGGATTTCTGTGACCAAAACTGAGTTTTGGTTACTTATTTATTATTTGTTCTTATCCCAATGAGTTTTCACTTTTTTCTTGTTTTTTTCTTTTTAAACATTTTAATATGGAAATTTTTGTGCCTGTTCAAAATGAGAGAAACAAGGTTAATGAATCTTATCATCCAGATCTAACAATTATCAGCTCCTGGGCTGTCTTATCCTTTTTCTATGCTCAGTCTGCTGTCCTCCACAAACTGATGAAGGTTCATATCCAGCCAAGGTAGCATTTTATATTGCAGTAGTTTCCTGTAAAACAGAAGCATAGAAGTATCTACTGAGCTCTGGGTCTCCATGAGCGCTCTCCTGAGGACATTGCTAGGTGAGTAACGAGAAACACTCGTTCGTCTGTTAAGAGTCAATGGGTAGTCACATCGATGATCCAGCAGAGGACTAATCACACTGGGAGGGCAGAGGTATATAAGATACAAATGTAAAACCAATCGCAATACCAGTATTCTAAGGAAAGGCAACTAACCGTGTTCCTTTCTATGCAATGTCAAGTCAGGATCTGTGATTCCCTGACGGTCTTGCTGTTTTTATGGTTCATTTCTTGCATTAGAACCCTTGACATTTGTATATTGTGATTGTTTGGTCGGCCTTTTTAGGTTTCTTTAACCTTTAAGTTCCTAATCTTTTTCTGTTTTCTTCCATCTTTGAGGGTAAAAAACCCTGAGAGATTTTGCCTATAGCGTTTCCCTCAGTCTCAGTTTTGTTGACTACATCCTTAGGGTCCTTCCACTTGTTCTTCTGACTTTATGTTCCCTGTAGAATGATAGTTAGATTTAGAGCTTGATCAGCTTCAGGTTTGATATTTTTGCCAACGTTTCTTAAGTGTCTTAGTGACTTTCCATTAAGAGTTGTCTAGAGTCGGCTGTTCCTTTTTTTGGGACATTAATTGCTACTGGCCAACATGATATGGATTTATTAATTCATCAGAGGTAGCAAATCAAAAAATATTCTCATTTTATCCCTAGTTCTTCATTAATTTCCAGGATATTTATATAAAGGCCAACTTCTCTCATCAGCTCTTTGTTGCCTTGAGATGTAGTTCATACAGAAAAGGCTGGACATATATGTAAGTCTTTCTTTTCAAAATAATGACTCTATTCCCTCCATTTTCCAAAAGTGATGAGTACGTAGTGTGGTTTTTAAGGCCTCATTATGAACTCCTGGGTTAAAAAAAAATGCGTATGCTTTACTCCAGGGGTCTTCAAACTTTTTAAACAGGGGGCCAGTTCACTGTCCCTCAGACCGTTGGAGGGCCGGACGGTGGGCCCCAGGACGAGTTGGCTACTAAGCAGGACAGGCAGCAGTGGCAAAAACTCCTGGCGGGCTGGATAAACGTCCTTGGTGGGCCGCATGTGGCCCATGGGCCATAGTTTGAGGATGCCTTCTTTGTAGTTATTTTGGTTCCTATTCTTACTAGCGTACAAATGGCTGGTAAGACAGAGCATGTTTGTGCTGCTTCCTGAGTCCTGCCCTTTTCAGTAGTTTCGGAACACTTCCTAGCACGTCATGATTTCAGCTCACAGAGGCATCTCCTAAGTTCCAGGCTCATGCTTGGAATCACCTCTTTCTCCAAGGGTGCTTTGGGTTTTGAAACAAATGTCTTTCAAACTGAGCCTACCCATCTTTAATCCTTTTGTTATACAGCATAAGCAGAAAAGCAAAGTGTTATAAAATGAAAAAGGTTTAACATTTTTGGCTAAAACACATTCTTAAGAGCAGAATCTAGTCTTACTAAAGGCCACAATATAGTTTTCCATTTTAAAGGGCCATATGTTCCCACAAAGCATGATAATGTACAAAGCACCTCTTCATGATAACCAGAGCACTGGCTGGCGGGGCAGGTGTTGCACGTGAAATCCAATAGCAGAAGTAGCAGAAGACTGATCCAGAGAAGGAGCTTTTAGGGGCAGCACGAGTGTCTAGCAGCCTCCTGCTCTTAGTGACTGCCACAAGAACATCCCCCATTGAGGCCATTCCTTCAGACAGGTCTCAGGAGAAGAGCGACACCTTGGAGCAGAGCTGCCCCAGCTGGCCTACCCTGCCATGGGGAATATGGCTGGGAAGCAGCTGTTTCTTTTGTAAGGTATAGTGAGTATGCTAAGCCTGTCTCCACGTGCTACAGAGATTTGGAGGTCTCTGCTCTTGCAGCCAAAACTAACCAAAGCAGTTGACCATAGTATTACTAGGTCAGTTGCCAGAATAGGGATCAACACATTTTAGGTTACTAAGAGGGGGAGATTGGATTATCATTTGGAAATACTCGTGTCCCCTCTCATTTCTGTGGGATGAAAACACCTCTTGGCTCCATGGTGTTGGGCGTGGCCATGTAATCGCCTTGTCCTTGTGGTAGGTGGAGTGGGCTCCCTGTGCTTCCAGGCTGGGCTTGGTTATGTGGCTTGGTTTGGCCACTGGTGGGTTAGCAGACGTGGTGCAGTGGAGGCTCCACCTGTGCTTATGAGGCTGGGCTTTCCCTCTGTACTTCAGCCATCACCATGTGGGATCCAGCGGGGCTGGGGATCAATACATTTTACGTTACTAATAGTGGGAGATTGGATTATTATTTGGAAATATTTGTGTCCCCTCTCATTTCCATGGGATGAAAACATGGCTCCAGCCTACATTCTGAGTAGAGTTGCTCCAGCAAAGGTCCCCAGCCTGCGTCAGCAGCTTCCCAGACATGGCACAAGCATTGAGCCAAATGATCTGAGCCAAGTGGATGCATAGTATTCCATGTAGCTGAGATTCACTTATGCCACATTATTTACCAATACTTGGCTGATGCACTGGTTGGACAGCTGTTGTCACTGTACTAAACTTGACCATGCAGCTACACAGGTAGTAAATGTGGCAGCATTTTTCATTTCTTTTTCCTCAAGGATTTTAAGGTCCTTTAACCTAAAATTATCACCCCTCCTTGCAACTTCCACACCTCATGTCTTTGTATGGAATGTGCTTATGGAGCAGTGTGGGCCATAATTCTAGTGGACACAGAGCCTCAGATGCTGCGGAACTCAGTATGTCCACATTGCTGGCCCAGTAAACCCATAAGGATTGGCTGTAAAATTTTCTTATTTTTAGGACTTGCCTAGATAGTTTATGTTCATAGCTGATCTATAGGTTGTCAAAATTGATAACCTGATGTTGTGTCAATACATGTTTAGACGTAAACCAGCTCATGGGCGGTGCCTGCGGTGGTGTGTTCGGGGGACATAGAGAATGGACAGTTGAGCTTTCTGATCC